AGTTGTAGGTTCAAACTCACCAGCCACTCCTTGGAAACTCTATACAGGGTTGCTGTGGGTCGGAACCAACTCGACAGCACTTAACAGCAAAATCAGTCTCTAGTCTTCTTTTTCAATGGAGTCTTGGTGTGGCACTGTGGGTAATGCTCTTGACAACACAGATGTTTGAACTGCAAGGTTGGGCAGTTCAAGCTTACCAGCTACTCCTAGGAAACGCTATACAGGGTCGCTATGGGCCGGACCCAGCAATATTTAACAACAACACCATCACCAAATAGTGTAGTTGGCTCTAGAATGACTTGGAGAATTTTGGCCTTGTAATGTAGCAGTAAGGACAGGGAACTACTTAAAGTGTAAACATGCCAAGGGGCTGCTTCTAAGAAACTGCAGTGACATGAAGGCATGTGGCAATAATAATGATGATACAGGGCTTGACTCTTTCATCAGCTGGATGGTAGTAAATTTATCAAGAAATAAAGTAAAATCCGCGTTGAGGGCTGCGGTTCGCCCAACTTGCCCTTGATGGAATTGGTGAGGTTGGATGAGGTGTTCTCTTACTCTTAGGGCTTCTTAGAGAATTTTGTTAAATATCTCCCTTGCTTTAATAAAAAGTCATCAGATTACAAAAACAATCTTTATTTTTCTTGCCTATGTGTCACTTGAAGATCTTTTGTCTCTGTAAACTTTTTTTCATCAACTGTTTCACTTCTGCAAAAAAAAAAAAAACAAACCAAAACCCCCTAACAAACAGAAAGCTATTTCTGGGGATAAAGTTAACTATAGATAAGATAATTAAACCTAGGATGGATTGAGGGTTTATGCAAAGGATGAAGAGTATGGAGAAGTCATTAAACTAGAAAAACAAACTACATGTGTGAAATGTTTAAAGACTTTCTCACCCTGAAACCTGAAACAGTTTTTGTTTTGTTTAAATTATTGATTTAGGTGAAAGTTTACAGAGCAAATTGGTTTTCCATTCAACAATCCATACCCATTTTGTTTCAGGACACTGATTGCACTCCCCACAACATAACAGCATGCTTCCCATTTCCTCCATGTTTCCCATTTCCATTTGTCCTTCTTTCCCATCCCTTCCTGCCTTCTGAGCTTTATCCCTGGGCAAATGCTGCCCTTTTGATCTTATCTGGTTGATTGTTCTAAGAAATGTTGTTATTGTTAAGTGGAGTTGGTTCTCACCCACAGGGACCCTGTATAGAGTTTCCAAGGAGCATCTGGTGAATTTGAACTGCCCACCTCGCAGTTCAAACGGCTTTGCAGTTTGGCACATTAACCCACAGTGCCACACCAGAAGTGTGTACCTCCCTGATATTCTTGTTCACCTTTCAAACATATCTGTTATTTGTCTGTTGTTGAAAGTTGACCCTGGAGATGAGTTTGGGTCAAGGCTTGAAGGGAGACTAAGGCCATAGTCTCAGGATGTGTGTTTTTTATATATGTGTTTATATGACTCTGCCTCTTTTACCCTAAACGACCCCAAACCTAACACCAAGAAGTGTAACTCATCCTTAAATTGTAGTTGTTAAGTGCCATCGAATCGGTTCCAACCCATAATAACCCTGTACAGGGTTTCCGAGGCTGTAAATCTTTATGGGAGCAGAGTGGCTTCTCTTTCTCCCGCAGAGCGGCTGGTAATTTCGAGCTGCTGACCTTAAGGTTCACAGCCCGATTCATAAACACTACGCTACCAGAGCTCCTTATCCTTAAATTAGAGTCGCATAACATATGTGTGATATTTGGTAAGGTTCTTTCGAACTAAAGTTGAAGGTTTTGCTTCTGAGTGACCTTTCACCAATTATCTTAACTGATAAAGAAATGAAAGCTCAGATGTATGTGCCTGCCCTTAATTAAGGAGGTCACATGGAAACTTTAGGATGAATGTTTAAACAGAAACATTCCAGAAGCCCTAGTTGCTAGTAGTGGGTGTCTCAGGGAAAGCATAGCAATTCCATTTAGTAATTATAAAATATGTATCTAGTCATTTAAAATCAAAACTTCATACTACACGCACCAAATGTTCCAGACCATGAGCAGAACAAAAAGCTTTAGTCTGGTTATTGGGCTGGGGGCAGGCCAGGAGGCGTTGGGGGAAATGGGTGCTGAAGCGAACCTCACTTGCTTTTCTTTGCCTGTATATAATGAGATGTCAAATGTTAGAGTGTTATCTTTCCTAAAAGGAGCCCCGGAGGCACTTTTAGGTTAGAGTGATCTGCTGCTAACTGAAAGGTCTGCAGTTCAAACCCACTAGTGGCTCCATGGAGAAAGATGTGGGCAGTTTGTTTCTGTAAAGACTTACAGCCTTGGAAACCCAATGGGGAACTTCTCCTCTGTCCTGTAGGACACCGTGAGTCAGAATCAACTTGATGCCAATGGATTTTTAATTTTCTTTTTTTAATGTTTTATTGAGAATTGTGTGATAGTCTACATGGGAGAACGTCAGCTTTCCATTCATTCCATCATCCATCATTTCATTGGCATAGTTATCATCCTGTCCATGCATCCTCACCCAACCAAGGGGTGTACCCTGTAAGCCTGCACCCCCCCCACCACCACAGTCCTCAGCCCCTTTCCATCTCCTGATCCCGAGCCCCCAGCCCCACCATCTCTTGACGTTGTCTTCTCTGCCTCCATCCCAGGCCTCACTGCCTCTCTGGGTAGGATTCCGCTCTTCACTCTTCTCCAATGATGGTCCCAAGGTCCTCTGTTCCTAGACTGATAAGTTAATCACTCCCCTCTTTGCTACAAAATGTCCATCTTTAGATTTCCAACCCTCACAATCAGTCCTGATAACAGTTATTCACCATTGTATCACAAGAGACCCATCTATATTTCGTTTCATCAGTCCTTCCTGGACAGGCTGGAGACTCTACCTTCCTCCACACCCTCTGGATCTAGGTTCCATTTTGAAAGCTTGTAAGCCAGTCACTTCTTGCCTTTGTATCCCTACCCCCATTTTGGGTAGCCAATGTCCAAGTTGCCCATCCCTGTCTACCCTTTGTGTGGAGGGGGTGGGTATAGTTCTTGCAGCAGAGACTTGTTGATGCCAATGGATTTTTGCATCTTTCCAAAACATAAGCACTCCTTTCACTTTATTTTAATCTATGATTTTACTTTGCTCCTGGTTTTTATTTTCATCATGGCATCTTACTGGTCTTTCTTAACTTATTTTTGGACTTTGTGTGTCCCTCTTTGCCCAGTTGAACCACAAAAACAAACAAGTTATGTTATATACATATAGGCTGCAAATCGAACCAGTGGAATTTAAGTCTACGTTGCTGTTCTATCTGGATACACTAGTTGGTTCATTGCCATTATTTCTAATGTTTAAATGTAAAACTAGCAATTATTCTTCCCACCCTATCCAGTTCCTTTCAATTGATCTAGCAAACACTGCATATTTGAATTTAAACAGTGCGTCTGTAGAAGCACCACCGTCTTCCTTGTAAAGTGAGTAATATCTTCAGTTCAACAGTTCTGTCCCTAAATATAGGAGTTCCTGGGTGGGGCAAATGGTTAAAGTTAGATATGGAAATCAACCTTGAGGTACTTCAGAAGAAATGCCTGGAGATTTGCTTCTGAAAGATCATAGTCATTGGAAACCCTATGAAGCACAGTTCTACTCTGACAAATGTGGTTGCACACATGCAGTTGCCGTGAGTCAGAATCAACTTGACCGCAATTGGTTTGTTTGTCCCTAAAAAAGTAGATCTTTGAATAAGCTCAAACTTTAAGGAAGAAAGAAAAATTGATTCTGAGATGGAGAGTGAAGGAACAAGGAGATAGTTGTGAATGTTGCAGGTAATTCTCTACTGCTAAGGAAAAAAGTAAACACTGGATCTTTTTAGTGGTTCTTGTATAGCGAGATATGCAGACAATAGAGAAATTTTATTCATAGATTCATTAACTATAACTTACCTTTTAAGTAACAACGTATCCAATTTAGCCTACTCATAAGATCTAAGTACAGAATTGTACTTTGAGTAGAAGCCAGGATATTGCTAGAGAAGAGAAAACTTGGATTTAATGTATTGGTGACATTAATTTGCATGTAGGATAAGCACTAAACTATTAACCTCTCTAGCCTCAAGGTCAGCAGTTCAAGTTCGCTAGCTGCTCTTGAAAACCCTATACAGGGTGCCTATGAGTTGGAACCTACTCCACAGCACACAGCATGTACATACATATTTGTTTTCGTTGTTAAGTGCCGTCAAGTCAGTTGCGACTCATAGCAACTCTCTACAGGGTTTCCGAAATGCAGCTGGTGAATTTGAACCACTGATCTTGTGATTCAAACTGACTTAGTGATCCATCACATTATCCTGCAGCACCATGCCAGAATTCCATACATACATGTTTTGTTAAGTGCTGTTGAGTCAGTGCCAACTCATAGTTGACCCTGTGTAGGGTTTCTGAGGAGAGGCTGGTGGGTTTGAACTGTCAGCCTTGTGGTTCAAACTGACCTTGTGCCTGTGGTCCAGGGCATTATCCTGCTGCATCACACCAGCACTCCTGTGTTATTGTTAAGTGCTGTTGTGCCTGTTCTGACTCATGGCACCAACCTTGTGGTTACTACCACAACACCACACCAGGACTCCATATATATGTATATATGTGTGTGTGTGTGTGTATATAGATATATATAAAGTTTTTTTAAAGCTATTCGCCTGGACACAGATTTTCATTCACCCATCCTTGTCTCACCTCTTCACTAAACAGACCCCAGAGGTGCATACCTTCTTACTGACCGTCTTCAAAGGAAAGCCCTATTTAAAAACCTTCTAGAGTTCTGTTATAAACCCCAAATGCTAGGGATCAGAAAAAACTCCCTTAGGGCCTCTAGAGAAGGCGCAAACAGGCTCACTGCTCTGATATGCTATGTGTCCCTAGCTCCCTTTAGTGCCCAGCTTGTCTTGATTTCATACCTTCTTTACAAGGTTTCATTGTCTTCTCCCCTCCCCTCTTCTTACCCTTGTTTTAAACAGCAGGAACGAATTTCATATACACCTCCAGAGAGTCCACTGCCGAATTACACTTCCTCCACTCCACTTCAGGTTCCAGTGCCTAGAGCGCTCAGGATGGAGGAAGACTCGATCCGCCTGCCAGCGCCCTTACGTGAGTGTTCACATTGCGAGGCTGGGCCTCGGCGTTGGGGAAGGTGGGAAGAGGAAAGGACAGACAGACCCGCAGACTGACTGAAGTCTCCTAGGTGAGGGTGGGGTAAGGGGGGGGGGTACGCCTACAGGCGGAGAGGGCTGAGCTCTGAATGAAGTTGGTTTTTCGCTGTTTTGTGTAGCTGCTTTAGAACCTTTTGCGCCTACTCGAAATGTCATTTAAGAAACTTGAGATTCCTGCTCTTTGTTTCATAATGTATTTTTTAAATCTCTGGCTAGGATATGTTTCAAAATATATCGAGGCAATGTGCAGTATATGTCAGAATCAGCTAAAGTTCCCTGTGTTGTTAAGTGTCTTCGAGTCGGTTTGGATCCATAGCGACCGTGTATAGGTTTTCCGAGGAGCTACTGGTGAGCAGAACCGTGGACTATGCGGTTCAAACCCACCTTGCAGTCCAGGGCATTAGGCCATAGCGCCATAACAGGACTCCAAAGTTCCCAGTAGACAGGGTGATTTTGGGGGAGGGGAGAAGGGGAGAAGCGTGCCTTTCTAAATTCATAATGACGTATGTTCCCCAATTATATTTTATCGTTGTTAAATGCCCTCGAGTAGGTTCCGACTCAGAGCAACCCTGTATGGGTTTTCAAGAAGCGGCTGTTGAGTTTGAACTTCTGACCTTGCCATCCAAACCGACCTTATGGTGGAATGCTTATCGTACAGTGCCAAACCAGGACTCTCCAATTATATTTACGTCAGACCTACATTTACTGATTTTCTCTGTTGAGTGTTGAGGCTCCACTCCAGCTTTGACTGTGTACTCATTTCTTCAGTCTTTCCATGCTAGGCTGCCTTTCTCTCCTTCGTTTATATGCCTGCATTGTCCTTTCTCTTGTCCCTTCCTTTCTTCCACTCTCTCGTCTTGTTTATAGTGTTTCCACCTTTCTTATCTCCACCCTTTGCTTCCACCACCTCCTGGGTTTGAAACTGCAGCTGACAACTTGGGAGATCATAAGAACCAAGTCACCTATGTATGCTATTGGTACTGGTCTCCAAAGCTGCCAACACCTGTCTTTCCTTTTTGTCTTTTTTCCCTATGCTACCACCCAACCCAGGTGATACAATGTGATTGGGGAAGCTGGGGGAAGAATGAGTCACCTGACCTACCCTGATCACAAGAAAACACCAGAGTCTGTGGCTTGAATATTATCCGGAGGGCACAAGTCTAGGTTGTAGAGAACACTGAAAGGTCACCTTGGGCCTCCCTTAGTTGATTCTCAATGACATAACCAATGCCTAGTCATGCTTCCCATAGCTCTGTTGCGTGGTGCTTTTGCTTCTGTGCATCTCTCCTCAGAAGCCACAAGGTTGCTTACTGGACATGGGACCAATAGGAGGAGGGTTCAAGCTTCTCTTTTACTTAAAAATTCAGGATCATTTAGGAACCAGATGACTGTGGTGGAAGGAAGTATTGGGGGAACATTGTTGCCTTCTCCCGTGTGTCCCAAGTGATTTTTGTAAGGTGCTGGGGGCCATGAGAATGCCCCCCCCCCACCTCCAGTCCAGTGCTCCATGTCCATCAAGACAGGTATGGCTCACTTAACATCCACTTGGGCAGTGTCCAACCATATATGTCTGTGGTCCAAGAAGATGTTTTGTTTTGTTTTAAGGGAAAGTAACTCTCCTTTTGTTTATTTTTCCCCACTAATGTTGTTTTTAACTTTTTATTGTCAACTGGATAAAGGTTTCCAGAGCACATCAGTTTTCCATTCAACAGTTCATACACATTTTCTTTCAATGTCTTGATTTTAGTTCCCTCAAGAATACATCCCACTTCCTCCTGTGTTTCCTGTTTTCATGCCTTCTTTTTACACCTTTCCTGCCTTTTGAACTTTCTCCTTAGGCAAGTATTACCTTTTTGACCTCACATAGTTGATTATTTGAAGAAGTATGCACATCCCTAGTATTATTGTATACTTTATAGGTCTGTCTGTTGTTTGGCTGAAAATTGAGCCACAGGTGTGAGTTCAGGTCCAGACCTGAAGGACGACTAAGGACCATATTCTTGAGAGTTTCACCAGTCTGTATCCAACTAAGCCACCTTCTGATGGTGAGGACCACTCGTCTGTCAGTTTGTAGTACTGTGGTGGCTTGTGAGTTGCTGTGATTCTGGAAGTTATGCCACGGGGAATTTAAATACCAGCAGGGTCACCCACTGTGGACAGGTTTCAGATGAGCTTCCATATGAAGACAAGCTAGGATGAAGGAGTGACGAACTACTTCAGAATATTTAGTCACTGAAAACCTTATGAATAGCAGAGAAACACTATCAGATATGGTGCTGGAAAATGAGGCCCTCAGGTTGGAAGGCACTTAAAATGC